CAGAGAATAAGGACACCTAGTTATAGTTCTTGCTGGCGACCTCTAACGGGAGGTAGGAAGAATAATGTTTGGTATTGCCAACATTTTTAAATTGCGGGAAATATATTGAAAAAACATTGAAAGGAATCCTATAATTAAAAACCCACAAACAATGGTGCTAATAATTTCGCCATTACACTTTTGCTAAGTGTTTGGTAAGAAATAGAGAAATATAGCAAACAATAAAAGCGAGAAGTAAAGAGAAGTTTGGGAGTTACCGTTATCAATCACTTAATCAGCTTATTATATTTGGATTTTGTAACAATGTTTAATGTAAAATTTTGAGAGTACATCTCGAATTGCTATATGTATCGATTAAATTACACTAAGTATATATATTCTAGCAAAAATCAGTTCAAACCCTAATAAATTTAGAAGTATGAACTATAACAACACCCAAATTAGAACCTACAATTGAATGCCGTATTTTCGCCGAATGCGATGCAATCAGCGATAACACTGTTACTCAAATGTTCTTATTTCACTAAGGAAATTTGCATTCTTCTGCCGTTGAAACGGGTAATCCGAACAGCGCGCAGGCCCGTAATCTCTCATCTTACCCTGTTTTTAACTTCAGACTTAGTATGCACAGGAAAAGGACACACATATAAGTGAAGATAATGCAGTTGAAATAAATTGTTGTAGCTATTTGAATGGGGAGGGTGCACAACGGTAGTTACAGTGCGACCATAAAATCAAAAACACTAACAACCGTCTTCATATTCCAAGCTATACCTCTATATATGTACATACATGCATATGTAAGCGAAGAGTGCAGTGTAAGTGAGAATGAGATAGGACGAGTGATCATCGGGTGGCGGACTGTGAGATGGTATCAAAAAAAATATGGCGAATATTTTAATAGATAAAATACAGAGAATAAAATGTAAAACATACGGAGTAGAAAAAGTAATAGTAAAACTAAATTTGAATTGCAAACAAAAATAGAATGAAAACTTTATTAACTATATACATACATATCTGTATAATCGTACCACAAAAGAATTGAATGTTGCTGATATTTTCAAAATATCTGCGGTATACTTGTACACATATTCATAAGAAAATGCATATACATACATGTGTGTACCATATGTATTACTTGTACAGGTGACTGCAGTTGGCCAGCATTTGTCAGAGAATTTTGGTTATTGAGGCAACAAACGTATAATTATATACATATGTATGTACATTTATATAAATAAATTTGTATGTATACGTGCATATTCTAACTACAGAGGCATAGTTCATGGTATGTGGACTGTGGTACAAAAATTTTAACAAAAAGCTGTTTTATTACTTCTTTTACGTGAAATAAATACATAAATCTTATGACACATCGTGTCTTTACTACTGACTAATTGTGCTCGGCACCCTTATTAGTATATTTTTTCAGAGTTAGTTACTGATAGAATAGTGTACATATAATCCTAGTCTAACAATAATTTTTCTTCTAATTTTCCCATTTGGATATCGTTAACACTTCTATCACGGGTACTACTGACTGTAGTTATTGTAATTCAAACTATTGGATAGAATTAATATCAATTTGTTAAATTTAATATAGGAAGAGAGATGTATTTTCAACAAAAAGAAGAGAGATGCATAAAAATGTGAGCATGAAAAGCTTAAGACGCTGTTTAGGAGAAGTTCGGCCCGAAAGTTTGATCATAAATTAAAGCAGCAAACAAATGCTTCTGTAAAGACATGATTGTAAACCTGATAACAGATAACCAGGGTACACTCGAAATTTGGAGGGAACGCTTCTCAAAACTGCTAAATGGCGAAAGCAGTGCTGCGACGGATAAAGAAGCACTCGCACCAACAATCTACCTTGTCAACGTTGTCGCCCCGCCACTCGACCAAGACGAGGTGAAAATAGCTCTAAGGCGTCTTAAGAAGAACAAAGCCCCAGAGGTCGATGGATTACCGACTAAGCTGTTTAAATCCGGCGGCGAGGAGCTGGAAAGGCGCATTTCCAGCTGCCAAGCAGGATTTGGTCGGATGAATACATGCCCAATGATTGGAATATGAGTGTACTCTGCCCTATCCACAAGTGGGGAGAACCCACAGTCTGCGCTAATTGTCGTGGGATCAGCTTTCTTAATATTGCACATAAGGTTCTTTCGACAGTAATGTGTGGCCCATTTAAGCCCATGGTAAATAAACTGATTGGACCTTATCAGTGTGGCTTTAGACAACCACCAGACCAGATTTTCACAATACGTCAGATCTTGGAGAAGACCCTTGACAAACAGATCGACACCCATCACCTTTTTGTCGAATTCAAAGCCGCTTTCGACAGCATTAGAATTACCTATTCGACGCCATGTTTATATTTGGTATCCCTGCGAAATTCATACGGTTATGCAGAATGACGTTGAGCACAAGTGTATTATATCCGAGGAGGATTACTTTGAAGGGAACAAAATAGATATTGATGAATAAATAAGTACTTTTCAAAAAATTCAAAATTCACCTTTTCCTTTTTCTTTGAACACGCCTTGTATACGTTATACGTTGTATATATACGAGTATATAACAGTGAGTACTGGAGTGGATAAGCGTATGATCGAAACGAAAGCCTATTTAAAATAATTTGTAGGGGAATACATTTAAAGTGTTTAATAAATATATCACTTACTTAACTTTAAACTCATTATATACCTCAACTGATATCTACTAGTTCTGTTGACGCTTATTAGAACAAGGTATATAGCTTAAAAATTATTGTATTTATAAACACATCCTAATCAGGTTTCTATTCATAGATTGCTTTAAGTGCTTAGTTGTCACCTTTGTGTTAATATGCGAATTCATCCGTTTTAAAGCGACGTGAGCTATTGATATAATAAACTGCGTGTTTTTTGTGTTTTGTGTTTTTTGTTCAACCTTATCCTTCCAAACTTTTTCTTTTTCACATTGAAGAAAATGTTACACAAAAATAATTTGTATAAAAGGCAAGAGAGTTTTTTAAGCGTCGAGATCTAAAACTACTCAGGTACAGAAACTAAAATTTTAAAAGCTTAGATTTAAAATTACGTTATATTAAATTGTTACGATTTTATTTACTCAGAGAAAGCAATATAGTCATTTTAATTTAGAAAAATTAGTCAGATAAATGAAATGTGCTCATGATTTGACATACTCGTATGCGGTAAAAAGGTTCGTTTTGTTCAAAATTTGATCTACAAGATTTTAACAGTAAAGTTCTAAACTGCCTTTAAAAGCGAGCCGCGATATAAAATTTAACTTTAACTTTAACTTTATGGAACAGACTATAACTTGTCAGAATGGATTTGGTAACTACGGTTTTATACCATAGAGCCATATTCCAATATAGATAGGCCAAGTTAGTAAAAAGAGTTTTAGTAACATATGGATCTCTAAACTCTTTAGACTACCGTTTAACAAAACTAAGATAATTATTTATTTTATTTATAAAGGCAAATAAGAAACTAAACTAATAACTTTGGGTATAAGAGGGAAAGAGGCACGAATCAATATACGCATTATGCCATTCAACTCATTACATCAAATCATTACATTGAGTTTAGGTGAGCTAGAAAATATGACATTCAATCCACTGGAAAATCGAAAATCACTATATTAAGAAGGGAGCTAGGGGTGGGCCTGAACTGATCTCATTTAATTTTAATATTAAAGAAAGTCATCATTTAACTCCATTAGGATATCTCACAAATTGACCGATCTGAAAAAGCCACGGAGATTCTCATATCGGAATCTGGAGGCTTGAAAAGGTGTACTACTACCAATTTCATATGAGAGTAGAAACAATAGTTGTGCAAAGTTTTATTTCGATAGCTTCATTGATGTTTGATTTATCTATTTTAAGGGAAAGAAATTGGAGTGCTGCAAAATAATGTATTAACATAACCTTAACATAAGGAAGTCAAGAGACTGTTTTGTACCAAGTTTTGTCTAAAACGGTTCAGTAGTTACCGAGATACGAAATCGGATTCAGTTGTAAATCTGTAAATTGGAACAGTGTCTGCAGTTCTATCTTTGTAGCTAAATATACAGCTTCTACCGTTTTTGGTTAGGCACTTATCGCACTTTTAGTAGTTAAACATTTTTCACACTGTATCATGAAATGTTAGAATGAAATTTTTTCACCAAATTTGGTTGATATAACTTTAGCAGTTTTTGAGGTATATACATTTTACCAATTGGGCGCCGGGCCACATCCTTTATTTTAACTAAAGTGCCATTCTGTGATCCCCAGTAAATTTTGTGACTTAAATTGTAGCACTCGATATTTGTTCGATTAATAGAATTTTGTAGGCGATTTTGTTCATCTGCAATACCAACCTACTCACAACCCTATATCTACCTCGATAAGATTTAGGTGTGCAATATATTGCGAGAGTATAAATATACTATTGTTTTGGAAACGAATTTAATGTAAAAGTTATTAAAATGCCCTTGTCAATATGTATTTGAATAGGAGCTAAATGGGACTATAGATTTATTTTGGTAAAGATGCGACAACAGCGCTGTATGCGAGGCGAAATTGTATGAACCTTATGGCAGTGTGCAAGTCGTTAACAATCAAGCGTTATGTCTTTCTATACTTTATTTTCTAAAAGACACTCTTTTCTGGTTTTTATCACTAAAAAATAATAGATATTTGATTAAAATTTTACCAGAAAACATACTTATGTAAGTGATCAGAAAGTTGCTGTTAGGATGACTTGCCAAAGGCTAAGAGAAAGCATACATACATTTGACAAACTTTCACAAGAGTCATGGAAACTAATATATAATATAATACATACTTGTGCATATGCATGGATGTTAAATATACAAATATCCAGCGATTTTAATTTTTCTAACAATTCATCATCAACTCTGGATAAATATTATACATTATGTATAATTTATTTCTCACTAGCCAGTACCATAAACGTGTGCTAAAAATATTAATGTAAAAAACTCACCTCGAATATCGATAATTTGCTGTTGGTTCTTGATTACAGTCCTGTTTGGGACCGGATGTCACAATCGCTGGATGTGAATTGAGTACATGGTGTGGTGAGGTATGCACTGAAGGCAATAAATTCGGCGGAAAACGAAATGGGAAATCACTATAACAAAGGAATAAAGGATAAAGCATACATATATATTTATAAATACTCTTAAAATTATATATTGCTTTCAAGCCGATCGCAAATCTGTTTGAAATTTTTCATTTCAATTCAATCAGTTCATTAATCCATTCCCACATGAATGACCATTAAGTCATGATCATAAGTCTCGGTAATCGCCGAGGTAAGATATAACCGCATACAAAATATTTTCTTCAACCAAAGGTCAATAAAATTTACTAATTATGCAAGCTTATTTATACTATCGCTTGACATTTTTATGTTCTATACAAGATAATCTAGAATCTCATACAAAAAATAAGATGCTCAACACCTAATTAAGAACAATCCGCAAGATAGTCATTTTGGCCTAATTCTATTCTTGTTTTTTATTAACGATATCTCTTCTGTAATAGAATTCTCAAAAATATTATTATACGCCGACGACGTAAAGCCTTTTAAATCATACACTTCAAATGAGGAAAGGTGTCTGTTGCAAACAGACTTTTGCAATTTGGTTACATGGTGTGATAAAATTGATTTGCCATTGAAACTTAATAAATGTAAGGCAATGTGCTTTTTCCGTAGATCTGCGTACTCCTCTCCTAATGTAACAAAACACCATACCATATTTTAACTATGTTGATTTGGGAGTTAATATGGACCCTAAACTTAATTTTATACTTCATATTGATACAATTGTATTGAAAGCAAAAGCTGTCCTCAGTTTTGTTAAACGTTGGTCTAAAGAATTTAGAGATCTGTATATTACTAAAACATACAACTTTGGTTAGACCTATATTGGAATATAGCTCTGTTGTATGGAACCCTAGCTACCAAATCCATTCTGACAAGTTAGAGTCGGTTCAAAAACAATTTTTATTTTTCGCCTTAGCGCATTTCCGATGGGATTCTAGGGTAAGTCTACCTCCATACACTAGTCGTTTAAAACATAGGTATACATCTACCTACACTTTATAGTCGAAGGGAAATGCTTTGCATATTATTCTTGGTGAAAATTTTGAAAGAAAGAGTTTGCAGTTCTTTTCTTCTAATTAAATTTAATATCCCGGTTCGCTTTTCCCCTTTACTGTTAAAATCTTGTATATTAAATTTCGAACTAAAGGAAGTATTCCGCCGTATATGCCATGATTTTAATTCTCATTCCAGCACATTTGACTTATCTGACTCACTTTTCAAACTTTAAAAGACTATATTGTTTTCTCTTAATAAATAAATATTATTATATCGTTACTATAAATCTTAGCTGTTAAAATTTTTGTTTCTGTAGCTGAGCAGTTTTAGATCTCAACACTTAAAAAACTCTCTTGCCTTTTCTTACTCGGCTAATTCTGCACGTATGCGGATTGCGCCCCTCACGTCGGTTGGGCGGAGGGGGGTATTCGTTGAGTTAATATTATTAATATTGTTTTTCGAAGGTATAAAACACTTACGAATCTATCAAAGTTAGCTTTTTTTGTTATTATGATCAATCATGTACTGTACCAAAACATTCTGCTCATCTTAGTTCTACTTCCTTTAAAAATTATTGTATATACATACATACGTAATAGCTATGCCCGCGACTTCGTCCCCGGTGAATTTAACAAAAATTTACTATAGTTTATGAATTCTGTACTTCGCGTATAAAAATATTTTTGCTAATTTGAATGAAACTTTTCTATTTTGTGAATTAATAATTGGTTTTTGTATATATGTATATATATGTACCTATACGTATATAAATAATCATCATGACGACACGTGTTGAAATCCCGGTGACTGTCTGCCCGTCCGTTCGTCTGTCCGTGCAATCGATAACTTAAATAAAAATTAAGATATCTTGATGAAACTTGGTACACATATTTCTTGGTCGCCCATTGCAGATGAGCGGAATCGGATTAATGCCACGCCCACAAAACGCCATTAATCGATAGCCTATAAAGTACCATAACTGAGGTCCACAACGAAGGGTGATGCATTTATGGTTAAAAAATTTTGAAAAAGGGGGCCTGGCCTTGCCTTTTAATAAGTTTAATGTACATATATCCTATACCAGTTAAGCTATAATAACCAAGTTCGCTCAGGGCAAATATTTTCGGCATCCCTACCCACTGTGTGAAAATTGATGAATTCGGATTATAACCCTGTCACTTCCCCATATAACGTATTTGTTAAAAACTACTAAAGGTGTGATAAATCTATAAATAAATGCGTCAGTGACAACAAATTTTGAACCCGAGTTGGTACGAGAAGGCTTTATCAGTGTCACATTTGGACGATGGGCATGACATCGCCGACATTTAGGTGAAAACACATATCTCGGGACCTATTCGACCGATTTGAACCGAATTTGGGAGGTAGTATCATCCACTCCTATGTTGCAGTGCGAAAACTAGCGAAATCAGACGAAAACCACGCCATCTTCCCATACAACACTATTTTAAATTCCACCATTTCCCAGTATACAAATAAAGACCACGTCAATGTACCCGAATAAAACTATGGAAGCCCCCAGATACCGAATATGAGAACCCCAGTTCCTATTGCGACCTTTTTATCGAAAATATAGCTAAATCTGTGAGATAAATTATATGAATTCGGATAGAACCCTTTTCTGATAATAGTATACATGTATATCAAAAATGGGTTGAATCGGATCAATACTTCCTTTAGCTCCCATATACCTAATAGAAACATTTTCGAACATCCCGCTGACTTTATACCGCATATATCGGCAAGTATGTGACTTATCTTAACAAAATAAAGACAGGGAGTTTCTTTCCATTTTTAAACGAACGCCAAACGAAAACTACACAACCGATCAAAAAACTTTTTTAACTTCCCGCTAAGAAAATTGAAAATTTTCTAAAAATCGGGAAGATATTGGTTTCACCCCATTTTGCAAAAATCGAGTTCTCAACAGATCTCGACGTTCCAAACGACTTGACCGATCAACACCAAAAACTAATCAGTTCTAAACCTTGAAAAAACACATCGTTTGCCGCAAACCGGGTCAAAATCGGTTGATTTACTTGCGAGATATCGAAAACGAAAAATTTCGAAGAGCTCAAAAGCAGTGAAAAAAGCGAAATTTGGACGTTAGCGTATGAAATTAGAGGGAAGTTGCAGGGATGGCCCTTGAGGCCAACCGTTTTCCACATTTTTTTACAGATTGACAGCTGAATTGCCAACTATCAAATAACAAAATGTGTTTTACATTTGGACTACGCCACCTAAAAATTCAACACAATAGTTGCCAACCCAATAATAACGGTACATCCTTGTGCCTGAATTGGATAAAATTAGGTGCAGACTTGACCTAGACTCCATTTAACTAAAATAAGTTTTCAAACATACCGGATTAAGAAATAAAACAAAGAAGTAAGGAAAAGCTAAGTTCGGATGTAATCGAACATTCTATACTCTCGCAGAGTCAAATGGCATACTCGTTTTAAATTTCTTTGTGGATCTTGCCGCCTTGTTCTATGCTGACCGATATTTTCGGTAAAAAGACAACTATAGGCACAAGGGTCAACATATTCAGTACCTAGGGGCTTGAACAGTTTTGGTTCGATTTAGACAATTTTTGGTAACAAGGTGGCATACTTTAAACGCATTATTCACGCAAAGTTTCACCCCGGTACCATGATTGTTGTTTTATTTGCATACTGGAAAGTGAAAAAATCAGATGGAATTTTAAATGTTATTATATGGGAAATTGGCGGTTGTACTCCGATTTCTCCCATTTTCGCACTATAACTTGGTAATATGAAAAGAATGTTATGCATTGAAAATGCTTCAAATCGGTTAAGCAGATCCCAAGATATAGGGTTGTACCTAAAAGTGGGCGCTGCCACGCCCCCTGTTTAACTTTGAACGTGGTTCCTACAAGTATAAAGTCATCTCATACCATCCCAGAGATAATATTTAATGTCCCTGGCGTGTTTAGTGATTGGTTTATGGCGCTTTTAGTAGTATTTAACAGTAACGTTACATGGGGAGTGTTCGGGGTTATCACTCGATTTCACCCATTTTCATACCGTCAATAGAGTTGCTAAAAACATTTGTTGCCAGTGAATTTTGTTATTATAGCCTCAGTGGTATAGGAGATATGCACATTAAACCTATAAGGGGGCGGGCCACGCCCACTTAAAAAAAATTGTATGCTGTATATGCCCCTCTATAATGTAATCCTTTATACCAAATAACAGTCTTGTATCTTATTGTGGAGCTTAGTTATGGTAATTTATTTGTGTACCACGTTTCATAAAGGTTTCTCAATTTGCACAGACGGACGGACGGAACACTGTATGTTAGGTAACGTTATGAAACTCAGAGAGCATCTTTTTCTTTTAACAATATGTAGTAATGTCAAAAATAGATAAAATCAGACCAATACTACCCCTATTTTAATATACCTAATACACGATTTTCAAACTTCCGGTTGGCTTTATAGCGGATATACTATTGGTCAAAGGAAGTAAAATATAATTACAGGACTAATTTAATCTATGACGTATAATACAAGTTAATAATATACATATTTGATTTTATTCTATTAACGATTTCGTCGAACAATGAATGTTGAATTCTTTCGCAACATTTTTAAAATAAAGATGTGCCAACAGCTGAAGGCATTATAAATATATCTTTTATTTTATTTTATTTTTTCTGTTTTTTGTAATGTAAAATGAAAATAAAGATGTAAAAATAAACAAGAGAAAACCTTACAAAACTATTGATAGTTTCATGAATTGTGAGCTTAAATACATAAGTTCAAAAAGTATCGCGAATTTGTATTTCAAAGAAAGTGTTTATTTATTCATGAATATCTTATTTGTCCTCTTCAAAGTAATCACCCCTAGATGTATAGAGCTTATGCAATTAGGTAAGCAGATATCGGTGAAGATGCGATACACGTAGCGTGCGAAAATTCAAAATTCGCGATAATTTTTCAACAAACCTCGTATTTGGCCAAAAATAACACATTAATGGTGCCGCAACCACCGTATTTTCCAGACCTGGCATCCTGTGACTGTTTATGTTCCCAAAACTTAAGTGTCATATGAAAGTACGACGCAATGCTAAGATTGAGGAGATAAAAACTGCATCGAAGGATTAGCTGAACACGATCACAAAAACTACTTTTTTAAGTACTTTGAAGATTAAAAAAAAAACGCTGACATAAGTGTATTATATCTAAGGTTGAATAAATAAACCTTTAAGAAATACAAAATTCGTGATACTTTTTGAACAAACCTTGCAAATATACTGTTGACCACTGTAGACCAGTGTTAACTAACTGATTCTATTCTATTCAATTTATTTTAACGACTTATGCATGTATATAGGATATGCATCTATAAAATTAGTTTATATAATAACATATGTTTATATAATAATATGTTTAGCTTTAGAGTGTTATCGCTTGGTTTTACATTGCTTTTGTATCTAATTTTGTTGTGAAAAAGCTTTAAATTGGTCATACCCATGGCAAATATGGTAAACTCATTTATATAAATGAAGATTAATAGCTCAACAGAAAACTTTACATGGGAGAGAAATTACCTTGATAACGTTGGGTTGATAGGTAATGATGACGGGTAAGGACTTCTAAAACTAGATGCTGCAGAATATACAGATGGTGTATGCCTAAAAAAGATGCAATAATAAAAATTGTGTACTTGGATACAAATATAGGTACATATATAAAATATATATTTAATTTTAAATGATTATTATACTTGTCCACCAGAATAAAACCTTAAATCAAACGCACTTTAAATTTTAACTCAATATAAAGCTCACAATAAAGCTTTCATATTTTTACATAATAATTAAATTTAAATAAACAGGCAGGGCTCGATCAAAGTTTGAGTTAAACACGCAAACTTTATAAAAATTTAGTTCCGGAAGTAAATAAATACTCTACTGACGATAAACAAAAACAAAACGGTAAAGCCGCATCTGAAAAAAACTATTTTTATTAAAATGCACAATCGATATTTTCATATGGATGCGATGAAGCAGTTAATTTGAAGAAGCTTAATATAATTCACTATGCAGACTCGACTCAGAACTTTAATTTGGCAAGTGGCTCATAAATTATATACTGACTTTATCAGCAACTAAAATTAAGATTAAACAGGTAAGGAAGGGCTAAAATCCTAAAACGCTTACCACGACGGTGTCATATCAGGTCCAAGCATTGGGTATGCGTACTGGCTTGAAGGAAATGAATATATAGCCGGCCTCGTTAAACCTAGAAATAAAAAGACAAAAATAAGTCAAATATGTGAAAAATAAAAAAGTAAGGAAAAATTTCGGGTGCAACCAACATTATATATTGTCGCATTTTGCAGAAATTAGGTGTTGGCAAAACTTTATACTACACATGAGTAGGGTCAAGTTCGGATTTAACCGAACAGTTTATACCCTCGCAATTTTCAAGGGTCAATGGCGAGGATATATGCTACTTTCAGATGTCGTAAAACTTTATATAAAAGATTTTGCATAATTAAGCGCTAAACCACATTATTTTGAGACTAGTTATCCACTTAATTTCATTGAAATACACATATTGACGGACATAAACGCTTTGAAGTCAGATGAAAAGTCAAAATATTATATTTTTTATATGTTTTTGATATTATACCTCAAAATAAATATAAGAATAAAAAATGGTTCTGAATTTGATTTTATGTATAAAAAAAAGGGAAAAACTCAATTCAATAAAATTACATAAAAATTTTGCGTATAAATAATTTATTAAAAAATACCGATCATCCATTTAGGGTTAATGCTTAAAATAGACTTCAAATGTTTAAAAATTAACAGTTTTACTTTTCCTGTCATGTTCCGTAGGAGTTTCTCTTATTGACCCACGAATATAAAACCCGATCATGCTTTCAGTATACTGGCCTTAGTAACGTCTTTCATATTCCATTTTATTTTGATGGAAGCGTACTCCTTGTTCTTCCATATAAGCTTCCATATTATCTTCGAATTTTCCTAAATGAGAATGTAACATGTGCATCTTTAGGAACATTCTACAACCGATGATGAAGAAATTTTTAATCACGTCAGTGATCAGCACTTCCTAGGAAACCATGCTGCCTTAAAACTGTTCCAGACCCTTTGCTCCTCACTGCTAAGTAACTTCGGAAAAATATCACAATCCAAATTCTTTCTGAGGAGATTTCAGCTTTTCTTTTCGCCTCTGAAAACCTCTGAAAGCCTTTACAAATCGTTTAATACCCAATTTAATATGTTCCATCCATATTCCATATATCCATCTTCCTTAATGAAGAAACAAGAATATGTTGCATGCCGTTTTTTTTGATGCGATTTTAGAACATCAGAATTCAGTAAATTCCATTGTTTTAACCACGAGGAGATTTGGACCTAATCTACTAGAAATCTCCCTGTATGGCACTGATTTAGCGGCATCTGTTGCCAGTAGGGAAATTTATCCCATTATCACAGCTGATTTGGACACTACAAGCTGTCAAAGTGAAAAAAATTAAACCAACATATATAATAAAAAGTTAAAAATTAAGACAATATAAAAATAAATGAATAATGTGGAGTGAGGTAGCCGAAGCCAATCTAATAGAGTTGTGGCAAAACACCACAGCTTCGATCGGCTAATTTATTCAAAACTAGCTGTTTTTTAATCTCCAACGAAAATGAGGGCAGTCTAGATTAGTGAATAGGTTAAATGTAATCTAATCACTTCCAATTTTCGGTGGGAAGATGGTAACTATTAAGTATCTGATTAAATCATTGAAATCTTCAGAGTTGATGAAACGTGTAATTTTTGTCCAGATCAAAGAACGACCTCGGAATGTATGGATACAGATAAACCCCGTGGTGGATGGCTGTTCTGAGAGAGTAGTTGATTTTCCAACACAGGTACATGATTTTTTTTTATCTATGGTATTGGAGTGTATGTCGATGGCAGATCAGCATAAAATGTTTTCTCTGAACTTTTACTCTTGAGTAGATTAACAATGCAAAAATAACAGTCAACTCACCATCCGGAATATATCTGCAAGAGTTATATGCCACATGTGGAGCCCATTTTTTGTCCTTATTTTTAACAGGTAGATTGAAGTAATCTTCATATGTTTCGCAAATCTTTAAATGTTTACTTATATCATACTTTTTTCTCTGGTTTTAAAAAAATCGCCTCAAATATAGCAAAACGATGCAAGCAATACTATGCTCCGGCTTTTCCCTCTCTTTCGACATTATGTTATATGTGCACGAAAATCAAAAAATGGTTACGTCACTATAATTGCTTACAAAGTAAAGATTTTCGATTTGTAATCGCTCTTTGCTTATATAACCAGAATTATTAAGTAAAACCCATTCGCAAAACGAATTTTTTTTTTAGGTGACCTGTGTAGTTCACACACTGGCTGACATATTGGGCATAACCTCTGCTGGACTATGGAAATTATTATATGTTATGTAGTATATTGGAGCTGTGGTAATTCGTGAATTAATATCGCATATTTCGGCCTTAAACTATAGTATATCCAACACTATACGTTCAATTTTGCTAAGATATCCTACATATGGACATATATCGGTCATTACGGTATAAAGCCAACTGGAAGTTGGAAATTCTTATATAATTTGTATCAATTTTCTTATAATGTATATGGGGGCGAGGGAATATTTTGACCCGTTTTTATCCAGTTTGTTACTACGACGTATCATTATCAGAAATAGATGCTCTCTGAATTTCATTAGATATCTCACAGATTTACCAATATACCATTTAAGGTAAAAGTCAAGCGAATGTTTCAAAATTATCTTGGCTATATGAGGGCTAGGGTTGGTATTGCCCTGATTTCATCTATTTTAGGCAAGAGGATAGACTGTTATGAGAAAACATTATTTCTGAATTTCATTAACATATCTCACATATTCACGGATAGATGCAGATAAAGCCAACAAGAAGATCGAAAATATTCTTATTAGGTATATGCGGCTTAGGGAAATATTGATCCGATTTTACTCATTTTTGGCATACATATGCATATGTTTGATGTCTCGGTCCTTAAAAAGTTATGGACCGATTTCGACAATTTTTTAGGACACTATTTTTTGCAAAGTTTTATTCCGATAATTTCATTGATGTTTGATTTGTAGGGGTACTGTAAAGTGAAAGAATCGGTTGGAACTTAAAATTCTGTTTTGTAGGAAGTAGGCCTGGTAGTCAAGTTTGGTTATAATTGGTCAAGTAGTTAATAAGATATAGGACTTCATCTAAATATGGGCGGAGCTACGCACGTTATTAATTACACCTGCTCCTATGACACACTTTCCTACCATCTTTGTTGAGAACTTTAATGCTTGTGGCGGCATTTATTCAGTGATTTATCGCACTATCGTAGTTTTCAACATAACCGTTGTATGGGAGTAGGCGCGGTTATTATCTGATTTCACCCATTTTCACACTGACGGAGGATGAGGCACAAAGATTTGTTCTGGGAAGGTTTGGTGTATTTAGCTTTGGTGATTTGTGAGATACGTATGTTGACTAAACTTAATGGGAGACGGGGCCACATCGAGTTTTTAATATCTTGTAAACCACAGATGCTCCTCCATAATACGATTAGCTGTTTTAAATTACAGTTATGTATTTAAAGGGCAATTTAAAGATCTTTAGTTAATGACTATTTGTGGGCGTGGCAATGGTCCGATTCCGCCCACCTACATCACCAACTTTGTTGTGGCGTGGACGAACAGACAGTCACCCGAACCTCAACTCATCTCCTGATCCAGATCATATTGATATATAATTCTATATCTATCCCGATAAGTCGATAAATTGGTTTAGAATTAAAAACTTTTGTATGTTAATAAACTCCACCGAGTATAAATATTCTAGGAAGTAAGACGAAATCTTTGTTCTGAAGTAATTGAGAGCTTCAAAAAGTTTCAGATCTAGGACAACTCTTAAACATTTCATATTAAAAGTATTCTAAAATAGGTTACCATAAAATTAATCATGAAAACCAATATATTCGCCCAGTGCTTCAGAAAAAGAGTCAGTATCATCCTGATTTAGGCTATTATAGCTTACCTACCATGTTGTAATGTACTTTTGGAAAATTATGGTTTGTGTTTTAATTGTTAAAATATAATATATGGCACTCTTTTGTTGTCTAGGCTTAGTGTTATTATTATTATTATTTTTTTGAACTTTTCCTTTTACTTTTTTATTTCGTTCTTTTCGAGTTTTTAATTTTGCATTCCCACGATTTCTTTTACTCTAGTTGTTTAATTTTCAACCCCTCAAAAAGCGTTGGCTTGATAGGCTTGTATAACTGTGCTGCATGGTCATGGGCATCAGTTATACCTTTTCAGTAAATTTCATATTCAGCTGTATACAAATATATGTATGTATGTTTGTACTCTTGTATATAAACCTTGCAAAAAATTGCGAGTATCGATGCATCCATTCAAATATCACCGCACGTAAATCAAAGAGTGCCCCGAACTTAACTGCATATTATATAAAATATATGGTCCATTGAGCAGTGAGATGTTTTAGAGCAGGTTTATATGTATACTCCAACTTATTTTATTGCGATCATTAAAACTCGAGTGGGCCTACTGGTGCATTACAAAAGAGAACTTTAAAAACACTCTAAACCGACACTAATTGCCATGTGGCCGATATCCATAATTTTAGAGATATTTATCGTTAGCGTCTAGACATCGTATACATCTTTGTAAAATGGAATTGAGCCGAACTCAACTAACTAACTAATACTTACCACCAACAAATAGTTTAGCCGTAAATATATTTTGTATCAACTCGTTTTTAGTTGTCAGATATCTTGAGACTTTATTGTATCAATTTGATATAAATCTACAAGTATATTTGCGGTCATCAAATTTCACTCTGTTACGATCTTAGGATAGGAGAAGAAAAGTAGTAAAGCGAAAATAATATTAAAAGTTTTCATTTCGTAAATGTTTTTCAATCAGGAAGCTGTTTTTATACCATATATGAGTTTTTGTTGTATATTGTAAACATCGATCTAAAATTTTGCACACGTTCTTTCCTCCCCAAGAAGCTGCTCATATGTTGGACCACGATAGAATATTTAACAACCAAAATCATGTCCTTATGTGAAAAACTATTTTATTTCAAAAGATATCTTCACGAAATTTGGCATGGATTATTTTTTAAGGCAACAATACTATAACCGAAGACTATAGCATATAGCTCGCATACAA